GGAGCCGCGGTCGGCCGCGGCGGCGTGCGGCTCCGACCGGCCAGCGCGCCTGGGGACGGCCGAGCCGCGGTCCGACCAGCCAGCTCGCCTGGAGACGGCCGAGCCGCGCACGCGGGCGGTCTGGCGCGGGTCGTTGCAGCCGCCGTCCGGGCCGCCGTCCGTGGAGGCGGGCAGCGACGAGGAGGAGGCGGAGCCGCGGTCGGCCGCGGCGGCGTGCGGCTCCGACCAGCCTGCACGCCAGGGGACGGCCGAGCCGCGCACGCGGGCGGTCCAGCGCGGGTCGTTGCAGCCGCCGTCGGGGCCGCCGTCCGAGGAGGCTGGCAGCGACGAGGAGGCGGAGCCGCGGTCGGCCGCGGCGGCGTGCGGCTCCGACCGGCCTGCGCGCCTGGGGACGGCCGAGCCGCGGTCCGACCGGCCAGCGCGCTTGGAGACGGCCGAGCCGCGCACGCGGGCGGTCCAGCGCAGGTCGTTGCAGCCGCCGTCGGGGCCGCCGTCCGAGGTGGAGGCGGGCAGCGACGGAGGAGGCGAGCCGCGGTCGGCCGCGGCGGCGTGCGGCTCCGACCTGGCCCGCGCCTGGGGAACGCCGAGCCGCGGCCGACCGACAGCGCGCCTGGAGACGGGGCCGAGCCGCGCACGCGGGCGGTCCACGCGGGTACTTGCAGCCCGCCGTCGTGTGCCGCCGTCCGAGGGAGGTCGGGCAGCGCCGAGAGGCGAGCCGCGGTCGGCCGCGGCGGCGTGCGCTCAGCACCGGCCAGCGCGCCTGGGGACGGCCGGAGCCGCTCCGAACGGCCAGCGCGCCTGGATACGGCCCGAGCCGCGCAACGCGGGCGGGTCCAGCGCGGGTCGTTGCAGCCGCCATCGGGGCCGCCGCCCGTGGGAGGAGGCGGGCAGCGACGAGGAGGCGGAGCCGCGGTCGGCCGCGGCGGCGTGCGGCTCCGACCGGCCAGCGAGCCTGGGGACGGCCGAGCCGCGGTCCGACCGGCCAGCGCGCCTGGAGACGGCCGAGCCGCGCACGCGGGCGGTCCAGCGCGGGTCGTTGCAGCCGCCGTCGGGGCCGCCGTCCGAGGAGGCTGGCAGCGACGAGGAGGCGGAGCCGCGGTCGGCCGCGGCGGCGTGCGGCTCCGACCGGCCTGCGCGCCTGGGGACGGCCGAGCCGCGGTCCGACCGGCCAGCGCGCCTGGAGACGGCCGAGCCGCGCACGCGGGCGGTCCAGCGCGGGTCGTTGCAGCCGCCGTCGGGGCCGCCGTCCGAGGAGGCGGGCAGCGACGAGGAGGCGGAGCCGCGGTCGGCCGCGGCGGCGTGCGGCTCCGACCGGCCAGCGCGCCTGGGGACGGCCGAGCCGCGGTCCGACCGGCCAGCGCGCCTGGAGACGGCCGAGCCGCGCACGCGGGCGGTCCAGCGCGGGTTGTTGCAGCCTCCGTCGGGGCCGCCGTCCGTGGAGGCTGGCGTTGACCCAGAGGATTGGCAGAACGCCATCTAAGACCGTAACGTGTCAAGATCTTCAGTATAGATCCTCTTGTGTTTTTCGTCGAAATGTCAAATGGATATTGATAAATGTGCACCCTTCTTTTGCCACGCGATTATTTGTCGCACTCCCATGACCGCAATAAGCATTTAAGACCCCCCTTCGGTGAAACGATAACGCTTCCAGCACCCTGGAAGCGTTACCTCTTCACGAGGAGGCGCCCCTCTGGATTCCAATGAGGTCCAAATCGACTCCTCGTGTGATGGCAACATGTGATGTCATGTGATCGTCGTCATCGTCTTCGTCGTCGTCGCCGCCGCCGCCGCCGCTGCCGCCGCCGCCGTCGTCGTCTTCGTCGGCGTCGGCGTCGGCGTCGGCGTCGTGGAATCCTGTTGGAGATCCGATTGGATTCGAGTCCTGCTGGAATCCTATATGAGTCATACTGTATTTGAAATCCGATTGGTATCTTATTGGAATTATATTCAAATAGGCTTCCAAGAGGACCCCAAAAAAGAATACAATACAGTAGGATTCCAATGGGATTCCAATAGGGTTCTAACTGGATCCAACTAGGATTCCAATAGGACTGCAATAGTCTTCCAATAGGATTTCCCTCGGAGTCCAAATGTGATTCCAGTAAGATCCGACCAGGATTCCAAGATGATGCCAACAGGACTCCAATACAACACAGTAGGATCCCAACACGACTTCAACAATTTCCCTATAAGTTTCGAACAGGGTCCCTTCCATATTCCAACCGGTACAATAGGATTCCAATAGGAGCCTCACACAACAGGATTCTTATAGGACTCAATTAGCATTCGGATGCAATATGATTCCAGTAGGATCCCAAAAGGAGTTTCATTCGCATTATCCCAGTGCGACCCGACATAGGAGTTGGAGCATTTAGGAAAGCAACATCTACATCTACACCGACAGCTACATTTACATCTACACCTGCATCTACATCTACATCAACATCAACAGCGAGACTCACATCTACATCTACACCTACATCTACACCTACATCTACATCTACACCTACACCTACACCTACATCCACATCCACACCCACACCTACATCTACATCTTCATCTACACTTTCGCATTGGTTTTGTTTTTGCTTTGCATTGCCTTTGCTTTTGCTCTTGCCTTTGCTTTTGCCTTTGCTGTTGCTGTTGCTGTTGCTTTTGCTTTGCTTTTTCGATGCTATACTATGCTTGGCTATGCTATGCTATGCTATGCTGTGATAATGCTGCGCTGCGCTATGCTGCGCTCAGCTAGGCTAAGTTAAGGTAAGCTAAGTAAGCTAGGCTAGGCTAAGCTAAGCTAAGCCAAGTTAAGCTGAACTAAGCTGAGCTATGCTAAGATGAGAGAAGCTAAGCAACGCTAAGCTTAGCTGAGCTGGGTGAACCCAGGGGGCGTAACTGGGGGAACTGCGGGGCGGATACTGGGGGAACCGCCCGGGGCGAGGACCACTGCCCGGCCCTTTAAGCATGCACGGTAAGAACCCTTCTAGGCAGAGCCTAGGTAGGGGATTATTATTATTATTATCCGCTGTCTATTCTGATGATCATTCGTATTGCTAACTTTAGCACTATCGGAGAGGGGCGCTGGGACTGTAATTTTTGTTGGTGCGCGTGCGGTGCTAAGATAACGCTCCGTGCGGGGTGGGGGCGATATTTTCGGATGGACCTCCCAGTAATTACGACGGCCGGGAAATCTATACCTTTGCACAGGGACAACAAACACTTGATAGGGGCAGTTTATTGTTTTTCTTCCCGTTCGTATGTATTTGACTGTTCGTATTCTTATTGTTTTCATTCGAGTTTCGATGCTTCTTATTGTTTCGATTAGTGTACTTACTAATCGTGTTATTATCAGTATTGTCGTACAGCATGATTATTAGTGTTCGTGTCCAACCGAATTCAAGTCGGACGCCTCCAGATTCCAGTGGGAATTCTACCCGAGCTCAGAGGCGGGAATTAATCATGTTATAAATTTGCGCGGTGCTACAGATATGATTCCGCGAAAATGCCCCCATGCAAGATTCAATAACATTGCGGTGCTGAGATAGCCCGCGGGGGTCTTAAATGCTTCCTCCGGTTAGAGATGTATGTATGTTGTTCGTCATGCGGCGAGCGAATAGAAAGATATTGTTGGTTTTCGTGCGCGCGCCGTGCCACTAAGTTAATGTTTGCACTCAGTAGCACATGACACGGCGAAATATGTTTTGCATTTGTTGCTGCAACTCGTGTTGCCAGTGGTATGCCCGTTGTTGTGCATAAGGGTCGGTGGTAAATGGCACAAGCCCGTCACACCACAAACACTCGTGTCACATCGATGTTCGGGTCTGCACATGACGACTGCAGTCGTATTATGCTTCCCTTGCTGCTGAGCTGCTGCCAAATTGGTTTCTGCATGGTCGTCTCTGCGCGTTTACAGGCACCGCCCGTCGGCTGCCGCGCTGCTTGAAAGTAAGACGTCTCGAGGTGGTGGTTGCGCACGTATTCGACATCGTCGAGGGGGGCGCATCTGGGCGAGTCGCCCATCTTACAGATCGATGTTGCACGAGCCGCAGAAATCTGCGATCCTGCTGTCTTCGCACACAGCTGCCCCTGTTCGCCCAGAGGGATAATTGGGGGCGGCGGGGAGGAGAGAGGAAAGGGAGGATTAGCTAGCGGAGGGAGGAAACAATGGCTTCGGAGGAGGATGAATGAACGGACCTGCAGGTTTAGGTGGATGCTCAAGCCGGAGTCGCAACTGTTCACGGACCAGCTAATACAGGCAGCGCAACAGAGGAGGCACCAGCTAACTATACAGTCTATCACACATTATTCTTGCATTATCTACATATGGTTGTTTTTTCACGTATTTAGCGATCCGATCGATAAGTGGCGATCGGATCTTAGATGGCGATCTGCTGAGCCTCTTGGGACGAGGAGGCGGAGCCGCGGTCGGCCACGGTGGCGTGCGGCTCCGACCGGCCTCCGCGTTTGCGCCGGTGGGCGGTCCTGCGCGGGTCGTTGCAGCCGCCGTCCGAGCCGTCCGTCGCGGAGGCGGGCAGCGACGAGGAGGCGGAGCCGCGGTCGGCCGCGGCGGTGGGCAGCTCCGACTGGCCAGCGCGCCTGGGAGCGGCCGAGCCGCGACGGCGGGCGGGCCACGGCCAGTCGCTGCAGTCGCCGCCGCCGCCGCCGCCACGCGGTGTGGGAGGTGCCGGGTCGCCTGGCCCCGCGGCGGTGCTGGCGGCGCTCGGGCAGCTGCCTCCATCCGCGCCCCTGCGCGCCACAGGCTCGCCGCCGCCGCGTTCGTCCGCGGCGGCGCCGACGCCCGCGGCGGCCGCGCAGGCGCCGCGCGGCGTGGGAGGGGCCGGGTCGCCGCCGCTGGGCGGCCCGGGGCGGGCCCGCGCGGCCCGCGGGCGGCGCCTCGCCGGCGGCCGCGTCCGCGAGCGGCGGCCGCGGAGGTGCCACGTCGCCGCCCCTGCCGCCAGCGCGTGAGGGCGCCGACGAAGGCGCGGGGCCCTCTGCGGCCGCGGCGCCGCTCGGCTCGCGCAGCAGCCGCGGCCGCGCGGCGGAGCCGCGGCCCGTCGCTGCCGCGGCGGAGGCCTTCGGGAGGGCGGCGCGCGCCTCCGGGGAGCTCCAGGCGCCACGGCGGAAGGCGGAGCGCACGAGGACGGAGCTGGCCGCGCAGCTCGAGGCGGAGCGCCTGCGGCGGGAGCGCCAGGCGCGGTGTGCCAGGAAGGGCAGCGCGTTCCCGGGCATCTGGCGCCTCGGAAGCATCGTGACGGGGGTGCTTCCTCGTCTTCGGTCCCTCGGGGCCCTTGCCGGGCCTCGGGGCCGTCAGAGAACGACTCGGGGCGAACAGAAAACGGTCCTGGGGATTTAGTCGAGAGGTCGAGGGCCCGCGTCTCGACCAGGCCGAGGCGCTGGATGTCTGGGTCTTTCAGGCGCGGCGCGCCCTCGGCGGGAGGCGGCGGGAGGAACGCGGCGAGGGGTCCCGTCCGCCAGCGGAAGGAAGCCTGCGGAAGGCGGCGGGAGTTCGAAGCGGGGCGTCATCAGTCGTTGGTTTCGGGGCTTCGGGAGTGGACCAGGAGGAGGAGGAGGAGGAGGAGGAGGAGGAGGAGGAGGAGGAGGAGGAGGAGGAGAAGGAGGAGGAGGAGGAGGAGGAGGAGGTGGAGGTGGGCGTGCTTGAGGGGGCTTCGGGGATTGGCCAGGTGGGCGTGCTCGAGGGGGCCCTGGAGTTGGAGCGCCTGCAGCACTTGGAGTCCTCCCAGGATTGAGGGGGAGAAGCATAATTACGCTGACCATGTGCCAAGACATCGCGGGAGCTTGTCGACGCCGATCTTGGCCGTGAATCGACGATGACCAAGATCCCAGACCCTGGGTGTCAAGATTATTTAATGACGTCGGCCTCCAGAGGTCTCGACCCCCTCCCCAGGACCGGTTTCTCGTCCTGAGTCGCTTGTTGTCGGCCCCGAGGCCAGGTGAGGTCCCCCAAAGGCCGAAAATGGCGAAACACCTTCCGTCATGCTTTTTTCTTAACTCGAGGGTCTGGGATTGGCAACGGCCAGGATCCGCAGCGACGTTTTCTGCTTTGGTCGGCGGTGCCGTCGTCGTGCCGCCGAGTCGTGTCCCAGAAGTGGCCTTGGGGAGCGCCTGCCCCCACAAGGGTCCCCTGGGACGGAGGAGGGAGGAGGGAGAGGAGGGAGAGCGGGTGGAGGAGGGAGGAGGAGAGAGGAGGGAGGAGGGAGGAGGGAAGGGGGAGGAGGAGGAGGAGGAGGAGGAGGAGGAAGGAGGAGGATGAGGAGAAGGGAGGAGGGAGGAGCGGGAGGTGAGGAGGGAGGAGCGGGGAGGAAAGGAGGAGGAGGAGGGCGGGGACGAGGAAAGGGTGAGGAGGGAGGAGGGAGAGGGAGGAGGGAGGAGGGAGGAGGGAGGTAGGTAGGAGGGAGGAGGGGGAGGGAGGAGAGGAGGAGGAGGAGGAGGAGGAGGAGGAGGAGGAGAAGGGAGGGGGAGGAGCGGGGAGGAGGAGGAAGGGGGAGGAGGGAGGAGGGAGGAGGAGAGGAGGAGGAGGGAGGAAGGAGGAGGGAGGAGGGAGGAGGAAGGAGGGAGGAGGAGGGGGAGCAAGGGAGGAGGGAGGAGGGAGGAGGTGAGGAGGGAGGAGGGAGGGGGGGCGGGAGGGAGGGAGGAGGGGAAGGAGTTGGAGGAGGAGGAGGGAGCAGGAGCAGGAGGCGGAGGAGGAGGAGGAGAAGGAGAAGCAGGAAGAGGCGTAGCAGGAGCAGGAGCAGGAGCAAGAGCAGGAGGAGCAGGAGGAGACGGAGGAGGAGGAGGAGGTGGTGGGGGAGGAGGAGGAGCAGCAGGAGGAGAAGGAGAAGGAGGATGAGGAGGAGGAGGAGGATGAGGTTAAGGATAATGGTAAGGATAAGGAATAAGGAAAAGGAGGAGGAGGAGGAGCAGGAGGAGGAGGAGGAGGAGAAAGGAGTAGTAGTAGCAGCAGCAGCAGCAGGAATAGTAGTAGTCGTCGTCGTCGTCGTCGTCATCGTCGTGGTCGTAGTAG